TGCTTGCAGGGAGCAGCCCCTGCCGGGAGCAGCGCTTGCTTGCAGGGAGCAGCCCCTGCCGGGAGCAGCGCTTGCCAGGAGCACCCGTGCTGGGGTGGGCCGGATCCACACGCGCAGGCCCGCGCTGGCTCGTTTCCAGAGCACTTTGGGGCTTGGGTTTTGACAAGCTCTTTCCCCTCGTACTCCTCGGCCTTGCTAGTTGCCCGGCGGCCCTGCAACTCCTGGCTCACGCGTTTCCGCGTCTCTGCCGCCGGAGCAGCTGGGCCAGCGCTCTCCCGGGCCGCGTCACGCGCGCACCACCGAGACGCAGGCCTCCAGCGGCCTAGAGCGGCAACGCGCGTGCGTCGGCTCTGCGACCGGTCGAGCTCGCGGGGTTCGGCCCGGGGTCCGCGCTCCGTGGGGCAGGGCAGGTTTCGGGCCCCTCCCTGAGCCGAAGAGACCCTGGCCGGCAGCCTCCCGCGTCTACGGCGGGTCTGTTTCGGTGTCCCGAGTCCGGGGTGGGGTGTCCCGGTCGCGTTTCCCCGACGCCCAGGGACTCCGTGCCCGCCCGCACTCAGCACCTCCTGTCGCGTGTGGGCCGAGGCCCGCCCTGGTGTTCCGTGGGGCCAGCGTCCCAATCCCAGTGTCCCGTGGGTTTGTGTTGCCCCCCGCCCCCGCCCTGTGGGTCAAGGTCCCTGTGTCCCGTGGAGTCCGGGTCCCAGTCCAGCGTCCTAGCGGGTCAGGGTCCGGGTCCTTCCACCCTCCTGTAGGGTCAGGGTCCCTGTCCCTGTCCCCGTGTCCCATGGATTTGTGGTTCCCCACTGTCCTGTAGGCTCGGCGTCTTCCGACCATCAGTGCAGGTGGCCCGCAGGCTCCGCCACACAGGTGGTCAGAAAGGATGTGATTCTGAGCCAGGCACAGGAAGGAGAGACAGTGGCCCCAGGTGCGCAGCTGTTCTTCCCTTAGCTTTGAGGATGTCGCTTTTTGACCCTGAAGACAGCACGGAGGCCCTGACCACAGCTGCGCTGCAGATGGCCTGGCCTCAGGTGAGCTGCATCCTCCAGGCTGGCCTCTGCGCCTTCCCCAGGCCTGCAGGTGCACAGTGCTGCAGGAAACGAGCACTCGGCACAGAGCTGCGGGCTCAGGGGTGGGTTCACGTGGAAAGGCTGGCACCCAGGCCCGGCAGTCCTCCCCGGGGCAGCAGTGTGTTCCTGCTGGCAGGGGCACTTGCTTGGTGCTCACTGAGCAGGGTCAGCACAGGTTGGGGCTGCAGCCCTAGTGTCCAGGCCAGGGTGAGACATGGGTTCTGCCTGGGAGCTGGTGTGCATTCCTAGGAGCTCTGGTGTCTGAGCGCCGAAGATGAAGTTTTTGTGTTAGAAAGTTTTCCAGTCCCAAGAGGTAAGTTGGTTGTAGAAGGGGGTCGTCGAGTTAGGAGGATGTTACAGTCAGGTCTTTTATTTATTTTTAAGATCTTTATTTTTATTTTTTAAAATTTTTAATTTTTATTTATTTATTTATTTTTGTGGAACCAGGGATTGAACTCAGGCCCTTGCGCTTGCCAAGGAAGCACTTATTCTACTGAGCCATCTCCCCAGCCATCTTTATTTTTTAGAGAAGCTGGGCTCATGGCAGAATTGGTCAGGAAAAGGACCACCGAGATAGCTCAGTGGACTAAGCGCCTGCTTAGGCAAGCACAGGGACCGGCTTCGATCCCTGGCACCACATGCCACACTGGCCTCACCCCCAGGCATGCTGAGCTGGCCACTGAGACTGGGTGTGGTGGCGCATGCCTGCAATCCCAGCACTGGGGAGGCTGAAAACAGGAGAATCACTATAGGTTTGAGCTGTATAGTGAGACTCTGTATCAAATACATTAAAATTTTTTTTAAAATTTTAAGACTTGGTCAGGAAGCACTGAGTTCCCACATACCTTCCACACTACCCTCCCGCCCTGCATAGCCCGACCTGGCCATCCCCTGACTGCCAATCCCTGCCCCAGCAGCCCACCCTTGCGTGGTGCCTCCTGTGGGTGGGACAGCTGTGTGACAGTGTGTATCCTGCTGTGGCAGCATCCACACTCCCACTGCGCCAACAATCCTGGGTGGCTCCTGACCCTCCCTGTAGCCCCTCACAGCTGCGGCGGGCTTCCCCAGAACCTCACACCCCTGGATGCAGTGCAGTGTAGCGTTGGCAGGTGGTCTTCTTTGATCAGTGTGCCCTAACTTCACAGCAGGAGAGTTCATTCCGATTCTGGGCTCAGTAGTCTTCCATTCTCTGCCTCATGGTGTAGCCACACGTTTTGCTTATGAAGAACATCTTGGTTGCTTCCAGATTTGGGCTGTAACAAAGCTGCTACGTTAACTGTGATAGGAAAATACAATGTGTGTTAAAGCATTATGATAAAAAGACACATTGCCATGAGACCCCTCGGAGTCATTCCCCTTGCACGGAACACACCCTGTGGTCCCTGCTACTTCCAGCAGTTCCACAAAACTGTTGTGTCTTCCTTGTGCTGTCCTGGCTGCCTCCTCGGCCTGAGTTGATTTGCATGATCATTTCGACGTTGGGAAATTGCACATTGCCAGATTCAGTGACTACGGTGGGTGAGGGCAGGGCGTCCTGTGTTTAGAGCATCCCTTCCTGAGGTGCAGCGGCACTCACTGTACTTAATCTCATAAAGATGTGCGGGAAAGACAACCCAGAACCGCTGCAGAAAGTGGTGAGGCAGTGTAGTGGCATGTGGCTGTAGCCCAGCACTTGGGAGACTGAGGCCAGGCTGCCTTCCAGGGCATCTCCATTTCGTGTTCCCATGTGCCAGAGGAGGAGCCCTGACTGCCAGGCGGGGGTGGGGCAGGGTACAACCCGCCTGCCGCGTGCTCGGGCCCGGACAGCCTGCCCTCCCCTCACGCCACTCCTGAGCGCAGCCTGTGTTTCAGGAACCAGTGACCTTTGAGGATGTGGCCGTGACCTTCAGCCCAGAGCAGTGGGCCAGCCTGGAGTCTGGGCAGAGGAGCCTGTACCGGAGGGTGATGCTGGACAACTACGCCCTCGTGGCTGCCCTGGGTGAGGCCGCTGGGTTGGGGGTGCCGAGCAGGGGAGCTCCATCTCGGGCTCTGCACCCCGCCAGCCTGCAGGGAAGCCCTCTGCCCTCGGTTTGGGAGGTGTCTTGGGCACCATGGATGGCCTTCCTGGAAAGGCAGCACTGTGAGCAGGCCCCACGCCTGGGAGCCCACAGCTCGCCCGTGGCCTGGCCCGCTTCAGTCCCTTCAGCCTCACAGCAGCTGCCGACAGCGCGGTGTCACCTCAGCGCCATCTTTTCCTCCCATAGCAGCTTCTCCAGCCTGCAAACCTGCTCTCATCGCCCGCCTGGAACGTGGCGAAGCTCTGTGGAACAGCGAGGCCCTGGGGAGTGGCCTGCCTGGTGGGTGAGCCCTGAGGGCCTCCTGGGTGTGGCTTCTCCCAGGCTGGTACCCTTGGGGTGAGTCTGTCCCCACCCCTCGCTCCCAGGTAGAAAGCGGAGACCCCGAGACTCCAGAGCCCAAAACACCGTTTTCCTCACTCACTGCTGGAAATTACCTTTTTTAATGCCAGTTTTCATTGCGGAGAAGTGGCATTTCAACCAAGTCTATGGAGAGTGCAGTTCTGTGGGTCACACTGATGCTGTGCGTCACAGCTGTGAATACTTTTAGGTGCTGGGGACTGAGCTGAGGGCCTTGCTGCTGCGCAGCAGTCCCAGTCCTCTACTGTTCTTGTTTTTCAGGAAAGGGTCTCACTAAGTCACTGAGTTCCCAGGTTAAGCATAAGCTTGTGATCCTCCTGCCTCCGCCTCCCAGAGTGCTGGGATAATGTGCGCCATCACACCTGGTAGAACCGTGGATTTTATTTTTAGGCTTTACCAATGAAAAGAAAGATATAATTTTAATTTTTTAAAGATTTTTTTTTAGATCGAGTCTTATTGTAATTCAGGCTGGCCTTGCATCGTGTTGCCCAGGTGGTCCTCCAGCTTGCAGCAGCACTGCCTCAGCCTCCCAAACGCTGAGGTCACAGGCACGCACCACCATGCCCGGCTTCAAGACTTTTTCACCTAAGTCCCCTAAAGGCTCAGTTCCCACTAATCTTTTGGTCTCTATCCTATTCGTTAGAGATGGGACCACAGGAGAAGTGTGGCTGGGAATCCTCCCCATCACAGCCCAGCACGCACACACCTGTGCACACGCGTGCACACATATGCGTACACGCACATGGAGTGCCAGAGCTCCCTGTGGAGGCCTGCAGTCCCGGTGGCCTTTGAGCCCGGGCTCCTTTCTCAGGCCAAGCAGCAGCTGGGCCCCTCCTTCAGGTGGGATTCTGCACAGTGGTCCCCTCGGCCGCGATTCCAGGTAGCCCGCAGGCTTCCGTCCCTTTTGAGAGCCATTTCTCTCACCCTGGAATATTGCATAGAATATTTAAAAGTACAGGATCCAGGCCCTGCCTCCCGGGTCATCAGTGGGGCCCCTCCCCGTGTGGGTTCGGGCTCTGTCTCGCACCTGTGTGGCCTCTCGTGTGCCTCTCTGTCTTTTTCCTTCCTCTTCCAGTCCTCCCCTTCCTGCTGAACCCTCATCTCTCGTCCTTTTCTCTCCCCCTTGCGCTGCTCCTCTTGTGTTTCCCTGCCTGTTTGTTCCTATGTCCTTGTGGCCCTCCTTGTCTCCAGCACTGCCTTTGCTCCATCTGCTGGTCACTGTTTCTCTGTCCCTCCTCTTGGTCCGCATGGCCATCTCGGGGACTCCCCAGCAGCCCCAGGAAGGTACCAGTATGCCTGTGCTCTCTCGGTCAGGGGCCGGGAACTGGGTCATGAAAGAGGAGCTGGATCTGGAGCCTGAGGCTGATGCTGAGATGCCAGGGGCGCAGCCCGGAAGTGCCACCCGGAGCGTGAGTTCTGCAGGCCAGGCTGCTGGTGCGAACCCGAACCTGATCCTGCGTGGTGGGATGAAGTTCTACAGGTGCCGAGACTGTGGGAAGATCTTCCGGTACAACTCCAAGCTGCTGCGCCACCAGATGAGCCACAGCGGAGAGAAGCCCTTCCCATGCGGTGAGTGCGGCAAGGCCTTCAAGTCCCGCTACGACTGTGGTGTGCACGAGAAGAACCACGCGGGCCAGGGCCCCTATGAGTGTGCAGAGTGCGGCCGGGGGCTGAGCTCCAGCACAGCCCTCACCCAGCACCGGAGGATCCACACGGGCGAGAGGCCTTACGCGTGCCCACAGTGTGGCCGGGCCTTTCGCAGGAGCGCGGCCTTCCTGCAGCACCGTCGGCTGCACACAGGCGAGCAGCTCTACCACTGCCGTGAGTGCCGTAAGGCTTTTGGCTGCCGCTCGCTGTTCATGGCACACCAGCGGGTGCACACGGGCGAGAGGCCCTTCCGTTGTCCTCAGTGTGGCAAGGCCTTTGCACAGAAGGTGGCTGCCGCGCAGCACCAGAGGGTGCATACCGGGGAACGGCCCTACGCGTGTGAGGTTTGTGGCAAGGCCTTCCGCTGGCACGGCAGTTTGCTGCAGCACCGGAGGCTGCACTCTACAGACAGGCCCAGCGGGGTGCACAGGCGGAGCTCCCAGGGCCCTGCCCCACCCCTGGTCCCTGTCCTTGTTCCCCAGGGGTCACAGCCCGCACTGGCCATGGCCCCGTCCTCTCTGGCCTTTGCACACAGCCTGCTCATCCCTGCCTCAGGGCCTGTGCTGCTGCTGCTGCCTGCCTCTGGGAGCCCGGAATCCCCCAGAGCCCTCTTGCCACCTGTCCAGATCATGCATGTCATCCATGGCCTTGGTGTCCCTGCCAAGGGGGCCCCGCCCCTCCTGCCTCCCTGCACTCCCACCAGGCCAAGTGCAGAGCCTCCCCAGCCTGGTGGAGTCTGATCTGGTTTCCGGTCTCTTTACATGTGTTTTCCACTGTTTCTGCTTATGCTGCATTGTAATTTATATAAACCTGAAGCCAGATTTGTAAAGGTTCTCTTCTTGGGGGTGAGAGCGGGAATCCTGCACATCGCTGGCCATGTCTACGTCGCATCTGCTGTGTCAGCAGAGGTCAGTGTGTCTGGAAAGTGGAACAGAGCTCACCCGAGTGTCCCCCACTGGGGTGCCAGATGCGCTGGGCCATCTAGCAGGAGGAGGACGGGTCTGCATGTTGGCCTGAGAGCTAGGGTAGCTTCTGATCCATCTGGTGTACCACTGTCCACATACGCATTTCTTTCTTTCTTTTTCCTCCTGGAACTGAGGACTGAACCCAGGATCTTTACATTGAGCCAAATACCTAGTCCCTTTCTGCATTTTGAGACAGTCTCACTGAGTTGCTAAGTTACTTAGGCTGGACCTGGACTGCTTCAGCCTCCCAGGGTGTTGGTGACAACCTTGTATGTCTCGATGCCGAGTGGTTTGAGCCACGAGTCATCGCTGCATGACCATGCCACATGGGACATGTGAGCCATCTGCCCACAGGGACAGCCAGTACCCAGGTGGCTCACACCAGTGGGGCTGGCTCAGGCTTGGAAGGGTGTTGGGGTCAGCAGGGACCACAGGTGCAGAGGTCATCTCGGAGCAAGGAAGAGTTGCCTGGGGCCAGCTCTTGGCACTGTTGTCCCCTCAGCAGCTGCACCCAGAATTGTTGCCCTCGTGAGCATCCGATTTTCTGTGCAGCACCACTCTGTGTCTGCTGGTGAGTGACCACAGCAACAGGCAGTGGTGTCTCAGAGTAAGAGGCCATGTGGGGCAGTGCTGGACTCGGGTCACCAAGTGGGGGTCCCAGCGAAGGTTGACGGGGAAGGCTGGCTGACTCAGCGCTGTGCGTGGCCAACAGAGCAACAGCGTGCAGCAGCAGCAGCAGCAGCGAGAGAAGCCGCTTTGCTGCCCTAAGCCCACTGGTCTCACCCTGCCCCCGGCTACTGCAGCTGAGGTCCCCATCCACCTCCCTGCCTGTGGGTGCTGTGTCCCACGGCGTTGGCAGAGCCCTGGCTTGGGAGCCTACTCAGCACAGCAGAAGCCCCCAGGACCCGGCCTGAGTGCCACACAGTGCACAGCTGCCCTGGGGTTTGCTGGCACAGGGGCATCGTCTGGGAAAGCACTGTGAGACAGTGTTGCTTTTTCTGCGGGCGTCTGGGCTCAGTTGGTCCTGTGTGTGCATCAAGGGTTAAGGTTCCTGGGAATGGGACAGAGTCGGTGCACAGCAGCTACAACCTGGGGAGGTATTTGGAAACATCACCTACCAAATGCCAGACAACAGGTGTGGTGGTGGACGCCTGCATTTCTAGCACTTGGGAGCCTGAGGCCGGAGGATCGAAAGTGCCGGCCCCACCTCCAGGGCACGCTGAGACACCAATTGAGACCAGGCATGGTGGCGAGTGCCTGTAATCCCAGCTCTCAGGAAACTGTGAATAGGCGAATCACTATGAGTCCAGTCTAGTAGTGAGACCCTGAACACCCTGTAGACCCTTCCCTAAAATACATAAAAAAAATCCAAAAGGCCTTTCTCTCCTACCTCCTTTGTCTTTTTCCTCTCTCAAGTCTTTTTCTCTTTCTAAAATATATTTCAAAATATCTCACATTAATGATTCTCTACACCCTGTGGTCTCTCCAGACATAAGCCAGGGCCTGCTGATCCAGTAGCGGGGTCTTTGACCGCGGTGTGGGCAGCGTGGCCCACCCCCGGGCTGGCTCAGGCCTGGCCCTGGTTCTGCCCTTGGTCTGGGGCTGTGGCACAGTGAGTGTCAGGGAGCTTTCGCTGGCCAGAGGACCCCTCTACTCTGTGACTGCCCTGGAATCCTGGGGCTTTATTGACACAAATCCATGCTTTGCTGGGGCTGCTTTTTTTTTTTTTTTTTTTCCTTTGGAGGAACTGGGGATTGAACTAGCCCCTTGTGGGGCCACTCTATGTGCCATCTAGGCACAGGCACTGCCAGTTCGGTTGGGCAAAAAGAAGCCAGCCATGGAGAGAGAGTAGCCTCGCCTGCTGTGGCACTGGGGATGGCACTTGGCCCTCTCAGCCCCAACTGCAGCTCTCTGAGAGCAGCCTCCCCCTGCCTTCACATCGCGCACAGCTCGCTGGAGCAGCGTGGGGTTTCCCTGTTGTTATTTTGCAGGCAGTCTTTGCAATTTAGGTATCATCTGCTCTTCAGCAACAACTGAGTGGTTTGGTCAGTTGTGGAAGGATCGATGTCCATGAGATCATGGAAGTGTAAAGGCCGAGTATCACGCAGGCAGCGGGAGCCTGCCCTGGTGCTGCCCCAAGAAGGCAGACTTTTCTTTCACAGCCAGCAGGACCCACGTGTGTCTTGTACTTCCCCGATCCCGCATTTTCCATGAGGGAGGCGCTTCATGTTTGACAGCTTGGGAGACGTGTTTCCATACTCCCACCCCCACAGGTTGTCTGTTTTAACCTCTGATTAGGTAGGTAAAGTGGCCTTTAAAATTAAATTAAGAAAATAGTGTTCTAATTACAGAAAGAATGCGCAGAGCAAAAACCTACCTAGGAAAGTGGCTGGTTAGGCCTGAATTTTGTCCCTTTTAACACTTTGGCAAATGCACACACACACGCTCACGCACACACATGTACCATATACTGTCACACCCACTCTGTCACAGGTGCCTGTCTCGTCAGCACAAGTGGACACGCATTCTGGCCCACACACAACCTGCAGTGTCGTGCCTAGGAGTGATCCACGCTACGGCACGTGGGTTCTTGTTCTCTCTCTGGTCAGGTTCATGTTATTGAAGATTCATGATATTTCAGATTTGAGTCTCTTGAAGTATGTGATGAGTGTCTCGTACATACATGATTGACATAGTCAGGATTTTTAATAGATTAGATAGAGATCCCTTCTGTTGCTTTTCTCACTATAGTTTAGGGTTCTGCAAGGGGAACAATACAATCCAGAACTTAATTATAAGATTATTTTATAATGGATCACCCAAAGAATCAGATACAAAGAGTGCAGGAAATCTGCCCACATAGTAAAGACCCAAGACTCCAGCAGAGAGCCTAGATCCCACAGTAATGTCCTACACAAGGCCATTGTTGTAGGCCAGCTGGAGGCCCAGTGCCCACAACAGTGTCTTACGCAGGCCTGTTTCACAAATCTGTGTTGGAAAGGCCCAAGGATCAGCAGTGGAAGCTAGAAAGTGTGCCAGCAGGTTGAAGGATCTGTGCTAGCAGGCTGAGGGGGCTGCATTGGAACCAGGAAGCGATGCTCAAGGTAAGACCCAGAGTGCTCCTGAAAAGTACCACAGCCACGCTCAGGGACGGAGTTCCTGAGCTCCTCCATTGATGAGGAAATCCGAGTTCCCATTAGGGAACCAACACAAGAACTCCTCCAGGAGACTGAGCTGGGCACCATCTTCCCTTCCAGAGCTGGAGGTGATGCTCAAGGTGAGGACCAGGGCTCCCCCAAAATGAACCGTAGCCATCCTCAGTGACAGCAGGTCTCCAGCTACTCTGATGAGAATAACCAGCTTCACCAGAAAAGCCAGCATGGCGAGGTCATCCAGCAGAATGGCCCAGGAGGCAGCAGCTTCCAGCAGTCCCTCCAGACAACTTGCGTGACGACAGCCTCTCGACGACAGCCTCTCCGGTTCTGCCTCTTACGCTGCTGGCAACAGCCCTCAGCTGGGCCTCCCACACCCAGCACCGTGCTGACTCGGTCCAGCTGGGTGCAGCAAGGTGCCCACCAGTTAGCGATCCGCCACACCACACTCCTATTAGCCTCCATTATTTTTTCTGGTCAGTTAATGAATGCGGCATTAATAATAGTCCGCAATGCTCTGTGGCATTCTTCCACACGTGGAGACCCGTGCACACAGATCTTTTGCGCTGGCGCCCTGCAGAAGCTGTGTGTTGGTCCCGTCAGCTTTTGGGCATCATTGAGCAGCTTTCTGAGATTAGTGTCATGCTGAGGCAGAGTGCTAGAGAACGTGTGGCTCAGCCAGCCCAGCTGGGGCTCCAGGGGTGGAGGAGTCAGCGTTTATCATGGTGAAGCCCGGAGATCGCCGTGCACTTGTTCCAGGCCACAGTCAGATCACAAAGGAGCCAGAAAGCCGAGAGGAGGCCTGGAGACAGCCTCAGCGCAGTGTGGCAGTGTCAGAAGCTGAGGTACGGAGAGGTCTTGGCGCCTGGCTGGTGTGGGGACTAGGTCAACCCCTTCCACCGAGGAGGCTGGGGTGGGTCAGCCCCAGGCTTCTCTGCTGCAATGCAGACAGGGCCCCCAAGCTCAGGGAAAGCGGCTGTCAGCCTGAACCCCACCCTGATTCCAACCGTGCATCAACAGCAGATCCTAGCGAGTTCAAAGGGCCTGTGCGGGCCTCGGGCCAGATGCACATGGTAGACCATAGCCTTGTGCGCTTTCGGGGTGATTGGCTCAGGTGAGATGCTCATGGCCGTTCAGTCTCGTCCAGCAGACACATACTTAACACTGGCCAGTGAGAAGGCCTTAGTTACAAGAGGAAGCACGGTGACCATCTGAAAGCTGAGCAGCGTCTGACTGAGGTGTGCCCAGGGGACTCTCGCAAGCTCGCCACTGCAGGCCCAGCCCGTCAGGAGTTCTGGCTGGAGAGCAGCCCGTGGGCCCAACCTCGAGGAGGGCCAGACCCCAGATAGAGCCGTCCTGTCAGGAGTGAGTTCTCGTGGGAAACAGCAGAAGTGGGGAGGAAGACAACACTGCGGAGATACTGCAGGTGAAGTGTCCACAGAGATGGAAACTGAGTGGAATACTTCATCTGACTGGCTCCTCCACTAGAGGAGAATGAGCTGCTATGAAGGACATTGCCATTATCATTAGTCCTATTATTATTTATTGGGGTTGAACCCGGGGCCTTTGCACTGATCTACTTGCCCAACCCTTTACTTTTTTTGTTTTGAGGTAGGGTCTTGCTGAGTTGCCCAGATTAGGCTCAAGCTTGTTCTCCTCCTGTCTCGGCCTCCTAAAGTGCTGGGAGTAC